GTTCCCAATCGGCAACACTCTTTGGTGACTCAGTCCATGGATGGGACCGTACCCGTCCGATCTCACCATGCATCTCGGTACCTACTTCCCTCATCACTTCTTTCTCTTCTTACTACTATTGAAATGGAACCTTGTTCTTATACCGACACAGCTAAGTCGTCTCATTAGTGTGATGCCATGCAAGGAGTATAATGCTCTCATTACTAATGGCACATGGGAGCTCATACCCTAGCAGCCTCATATGAATGTTGTTGGCACCAAGTGGGTATACAAAATTAAAAAGAACTCTAATGGTACCCTTAATTGTTATAAAGACTGCCTTGTTGCTCAAGACTTTAACCAAATTCCGGGCTTGGATTTCTTTGACACTTTTAGTCTAGTTGTGAAGCCAGTAACTATTCATACTATTTTATCTCTTACGGTTTCACAAAAATGGTTGATTCGATAGTTAGACATTAATAATGCATTTTTACATGGTTTTCTCGATGAAGACATCTATGTTCAACAACCACGAGGGTTTGAGGATTCTTCGAAACCAAATCATGTATGTAAGTTTTGCGAGGCACTTTATGGCCTTAAACAAGCTCCTCAAGCTTGGTACTCTTGTCTTAGTGGTTGTCTTGTTGATATGGGGTTCCGACAATCCACTGTCGATCCCTCTCTCTTTATATATGATCATGGCAATATCAAATTACTTATGCTAATTTATGTTGATGATTTGATTCTCACTGGAAATTCGGTCATCACCATTGATAAGTTTCTTGCTGCTCTCTCTAATATTTTTCCATTAAAGGATCTTGGGTCGTTGCATTACTTCCTTGGTATTGAAGCACAGTCCACTGCCACCGGTCTTATTTTATCTCAATAATGCTACATAACCAAGCTCTTGTGCCGTACTCATCTTGATGGTGCAAAGGAAGTAATACCTTTGTTGCATTACTTCCATGAAACTCTCCAAATTCTCTGGAACACCTCTTGCTGATCCTACGGAGTATTGAAAGGTCGTTCGTCCTCTTCAATATGTCACATTGACCCGACCCGATATCTCCTTTATAGTGAATAAAGTCTTCTAGTTCTTACAATCACCCATGGAAGAGCACTAGAGTGCGGTCAAATTTAACACGTGCTGCATTACCTCAAAGGTATTATTGATTTTGGCCTTCATTTTTGGGCCTCTGATCTTGGCACCAAGCTATTCAGATGCCGAATGGGATATCTGTCCGGATGACAGGTGATCGACGGGTGGGTGCTCTGTCTATCTTGACACCAATCTTGTTGCCTGGAGCTCAGAGAAACAAGCAATGATCGCTCGTTCAAGCACGGAATCTGAATGTCGTGCATTGGCTAATTCCATAACCGAAATACTCTCGATTCAATCACTCCTTCGTGATTTGGGTTACCCTATTACTACTCCGCTTGCTTGGTGTGATAACATTGGCGCTACCTATCTAGCCGCCAGTCCTATCTTCCATGCACGCACGAAGGATGTGAAAGTTGATTACCATTTTCTTCAAGATCAAATGACAAAGAAGCAACTTCAGATTCGGTACATTCCTTATGTTGATCAGATTGCAGATGTTTTCACGAAGCCATTAGCTACTACTCAGTTCGAACTTCTACGTTCCAAGCTTCACGTTGCCCCGCTCAGCTTGAGGGGGCGTGTTAGGACTCCTACTAGTCCTACTGCAGGTCGGCCAGGATAGTTTGAGCCTATCCAAACTCTTGTAGATAGAAGTAAAGTTTATCATGTTCAATATATAGATAGAGTTGAAGTTTATCACGTAACCTCACAACAGTTGTAATCCCACTAAACCTCTAACACTCATTGATGATCAACTCACTGATTGTACAGTTTTCTGCTCCAACTCTTGTCCTCTTTATTATCTTTAATTTTTTCAGTTATTGTTTTTCTAACTCCTGAAATAAAATAAATCAGAATTTGCACATAATCTGTAAACTACTAGAAAGGCATTAATTAGATCTACAGGCACCATTTATCCGACCTGATTAAGATGAGATCCAATGCTCTGTTATGGGGTTCAGAGCAGCAAAGAGTGTTTGATTAGCTAAACATATTCTGTGAATTCATAGGTTTGAGTGCGCAAGCCCACCAAGATATCTCAAAGCGTTTCCTGGGTTATTAGCCCAGTCCAATTTCTAATTACCAAAAAAGATTGGACTTGGAAGCTGTGCAAATACTAGCGTCCAGGTTTGAGTGCATACAGGACCGGCCCAAGTGCAACCCTTTCTTACTTTCTTAATGGGGATTCAATAGGTAATTAAGCAGGGTAAACGCAGATAAGGGACGCGTTAAAAAATGGGGTAGAACAATGTGAAGTAATAGGACAAAAACGTCTTTTTCAAGTAAAAAATAGAGCAATAATAATGTCAAGTGGAGCGGTTGTGGAATAGGGCCTTTGGAGGGATAGAGGACATACTGGTAATTTCATAGTGGAGTCGTTGGCTTTAATTAATAATCATGGGGCCTCGTTGTATCAGTATGGCCGGGATTGCGTTCCTTGGGAAGTAAACGATTTTATTAATTAAATTAAAAAACAAAATAAATTATTAATTAAATTTTCTATATTATCCTTTCAAATATCTATTGTTAGAGTTCAGATGCTGTTGGAAGAATACTGTTCATCGTCTCCTTCCTCTTCGAAACTGAACCAGCGAAGGAATCAGATATTAATTAGTAGCTGTTTCTTCTCAAAAGTCCCAACCCCACCCCCAATGACGAGACCAAGAGTTTTGTTACTGTTGCTTTGATGCAATCATGGATCGCTGGCCTTCTCTCTCTCTCTCATTCTGATGATGATCGATGCCGAGCGATTGAGAGGTCAGCAAAGGCGTCATGGAATTTCTAGGAATTCTTGCTACGTAGTTATCCACGTTGAAATATAACAACGCGTGCAATGTATTAATAATAAAGCCCAATACTCCTAAACTATTTTTCTCATCAATCATCTTTAAAGTATGACATATTCAAACACTCAAAGTTTAATAAGAAATTCCAGATCATCCCTTTGACTATTAATTTTACTAAGGATGCATGGCCATGCATACACTGTAGTAATAGAAAGAAATAAAGAAAGAAAATATTAAATAATAATTAAAATAATAAAAAAAAAATCTAGTACATGATTTGCTTATATATGTATGTCTATATTTATTTATTTATTACTAGCGACAAATATGGATTCTGTGGGTAGGAAGCTACGCTATTAAATGAAGTCATAAGGTTCCTATTCTCAAGGCATTAGTGGTGTTTAAATTTGTTTTGCCATCGGAAGGTGTCTCATTGCATGGTTTCATACAGCGGATTTGGAGTCCAGATCAGAGATGTGTGGCTGCTGCAATTCACGGCAGGTAGAGTGTAGGTAGAAAAAGTGAATAGGAAATCCTGTTTGATGGATTCGCTATSTGCTACCCACACAGGATTTGCTCTTCACACATGGGCACCTCACAGGCACATATCCATCATGCATTGAGAACATTTTCTGTGAATAATAACTTATAAATATGGAAGATGTTCCCAATACATGACGACATGTGCAGTTTGAAGTCAGTGTGAGGTGCCATCTGTGAGGAATAGATCCAATCTCGCCTGTTCAAAGCATTAGCAATCTACTGTAAATTGGGAATACTCTTATATAATGGCTACTTTTGTATTTGTCTTTGGGATTTTCCTTTTGATTGCTTAAAAAAAATAAATAAATAAACATGAAAGATGTTCCCAATATGTGGCTGCCTCATTGTAGTAGGTATAGGTAGCAGATCCGAACAGTGTAAAATATGTAAGACGTGTGACTTTTGATATGAGGGCAAGGCAAATATTAACATTATATAAAAAACACTTAAACATATATATCCTCCGGTAAAACATTATTTAAATTTTTTAAATTCTTATTTTGCCCTTGAATGTCTAACATATGTGGAGATTATATCTCCGCTCCACAACGTCTCGCCCCACAACGCCCTACAGCACATTCTTGCCGTGTATTTAGAACATTTCCTGATCGATCGATGATGTCATAAGCGGAAGATGCACTTAATACACGACGAGGATGTGCTGTGGGGCGGAGATGTGAACTCACATATGTGACCTAACTTCACATTCACATCTCTTCTCAGATAGGTGAACTGAAATGTGTGCGTGTGTGAGAGTAAGAGAGAGGCTGTACATGTCAACTCCTGTCCTCCTGACCAAAGTTATGGGCCAATACCTTTTCATAACGCCACCTGAGCTGACTCTCTTTATTTCAGACTAGTCACAAACTTCTCTCAATCTCAAGACACCACCTGGTGATTGAAACACAGCCACTGTAGAAGCTTTTTCTTAGCTTGCACTCTCGCTCCTCATATGAACAACCCAAAACAGAGAAATTAATGGCACAAAAAAGCAAACACTGTGGCGACGAAAAGCGTTCGAATTCCTTCTACATATTGATTGCTCATGTTTTAATAACAAACGAAGTGAGCAGAATCTTTTATAGTTAGAAAATTGAAATTTATCCAAAGGGAATGGTTTTTATTATGTTGCACAGGTCAAGTAAGTCTTAACTATTTTAGGACTTATTAGGGTTAACTTCCCAGGCTTTCGGTCGCTGGAATGACAGATTTGTTGGCACAGGCTCTGTTTATTGCAGATTTAGAGTCACCGCCGATATATCCACCACTCATGTGACTTGAAAATCTCAGGACATCTTTTGAAATTTTGAAAAAAAATAAAAGGATAAAAGAGTCATAAGTTCATATACATTATGTCAATTTACGAAAACCCATTGTATGTTTAAGTCTTTTACGCTTATTATTATTATTATTATTTAAAAGATGGTATTTGGAAAACTGAAAGGAAAATATTCACACGAAAGGATATTGATTATTGACCAACAGGTATGACTTTGTTTATTGACCAACAGGTATGGGTTCAACGCCAGCATTATCCTATAAATAACAGAAGCCTCCCCAAGGTTTTGAGTTACAAGAAAAGACAGAAAATAGCTCCTCCTCCTCCTCCCTTATGAATCAATATTCGTGAGGAAGCTTATGTACGTTGTCTCGAAAGGTCAATGGCGCCTAGAGAAAAATTGAGCAACTATGCTGCTGTGCTTGTTCTTTGTGCGTTATGTCTACTTACAGTGATGGCTAATGCGAGTTCTAATGTATGTAACTAGCTAGTCGTCCATGTTAATCATCTTATTTTCCATGTTAATTTGTTTTCTCATTATTACACTCTTAACCCGGCCTTATATATAGTTTGTGTTCTCCTGATCATTCTATATAAATTGGGTTCAGTTGCTTAATTTCCCCTCTGTCACAGTGGTTAAACCATGGAGGAGATCTGTACAACAGGAGATACGCCAAGGGAGAAAACAAGATCAGCGCCAAGACTGTATCAAGATTGCGATTGAAATGGAAATTCTTTGCGGGAAAAGACATTACTGCAACACCCGCAATTTTTCATGGAATCGTTTATTTCCCGAGCTGGAACGGAAATGTCTATGCAGTAAAGGGTGCAGATGGCTCTCTTGTGTGGAAGAAGAACCTGGGGGAGTTGACCGGCCTTAATGCAACTGGAATAGGATTAAGTCAAGATATTAATGTTACTGTGTCAAGATCAACTCCAACGGTGGCTGGGAAGCTGCTTATAATTGGGATTTATGGGCCTGCCGTGGTTATTGCGGTGAAACGAGCATCCGGAGAGCTGGTGTGGTCGACTCAGTTGGACAGCCATAATGCATCTCAAATTACCATGTCTGGAACCGTTTACAACAAGCAAGTAGAAATTAAACTCTTCTCCTCTGTAGTCTGTATACATAGATCATTTTGTCTGAGAATGAATTGGTTGTTGCATCTACAGAGCTTTCTATGTGGGAACGTCATCAGCAGAAGAAGCATCTGGGGTGGAAGAATGCTGCACTTTTCGTGGTAGCATGGCGAAACTAGACATCAACACCGGCACCATCTTGTGGCAAACCTTTGTTCTTCCTGACAACCAAGGTAAATTGGGAGGATATGCGGGCGCAGCTATATGGGGAAGTAGCCCTTCCATCGATGTATCCAGGAATCTGATCTATGTTGGCACCGGAAATCTATACTCAGCTCCTGCTCATGTGACTGAATGCCAGGAGAAGCAGAATAATCAGACATTCCCAGCACATCCCGACCAATGTATCGAACCGGATAATCACGAGAATTCCATCCTGGCCTTTGACATGGATACAGGGCACATCAGATGGTATCGGCAGCTAGGAGGCTATGACATATGGTTTTTAGCTTGTAACAATCTTTCCACACCCAACTGCCCACCGGGACCCAATCCAGATGCCGACTTTGGGGAGGCCCCCATGATGCTTACTGTATTTGTCAATGGAACCAAACGAGATATCGTGGTTGCGGTACAGAAGAGTGGGTCTGCATGGGCTCTGGATCGCGATAATGGAAACATCATATGGTCTACGGTAATTAGTATAAGTTGATGATATGTTCTTTTCTTTTTGTTTCTAATTAAATAAAACCGCAGATAATTAATTTGATCTAGTAGCTGGTCTGGTGTATGGTTATTTGAGGATATTTATTATATGTAGGTGGCTGGGCCGGGCGGCATATCTGGAGGTGGAACTTGGGGGGCCGCCACCGATGGGCGGAGAGTTTACACAAACATTGCAAATAGCGGACGGCTGAACTTCACACTGGCACCATCCAAGAGAACAACGACGGCAGGTGCATGGGTGGCAATGAATGCTAACAGTGGCAAGGTGCAGTGGTCCACCGCCAACCCTAGTAATGCCACCTCCAACGGGCCTGTTACCGTGGCCAATGGTGTCCTATTTGCTGGATCCACTGACACACGAGGACCCTTATATGCAATTGATGTCAAGACTGGCAAGATCCTATGGTCCTACGACACCGGCGCCACCATATACGGCGGTGTCTCTGTGAGCAATGGCTGCATCTACCTTGGCAACGGATATGGTGTAAATGTTGGAAAGTTTTTGGGGTTTAATTCTGGAACGTCGCTCTTTGCATTTTGTATCAAATAAACTGCTGTCATGTCATGCTAGCTTAGCATTTGCCAAGAAAATAATTAACTGCATGCCCCCCGTATTTTCAGTTAATGAAATAATAAGATGGCTTAATTTGTTGGGTAGTCCCAGTTCTTTGGGAACAAGTGGAACTTTATTTTTCCGTTAAACCAGGGAAAATTAAGGCTCTTTAGCAATGTGGATTCGTGCTAGAACAGATGGCCTGGTGAGGTTACCCATGATCCTAATAAGCTCACTAATAATTAAGCTTTACAATATGGGCACCTTAATTAATTTGTTTCTTCAGGATCATTGGGCTTCCAGCAATATTTTCCTAGCTTGTTTAAGAAAGCTGATGCTGTTAAATCTTTTCAGGAGTAAGTTTGCACGGTGTGATTCCTAACCACAATGGAAGCAGTGGAATTACAGTGTATAAACAACTAAAAATGGGGTTATTTCCATTATTGGTTTCACTCACTAGTGTACTAGTGTATATATTTTCGTCAAAAACAGTAAAAAGAAAAAGAAAAAACTCATATGTCCCAAAAGAAGGTATATATATATATATATATGAATTTTATAATTAACATAATTTTCAAGTAAATTAGTTAATTAACTGCAATTTGACTTTTTACTAAATTATCCTTCTCTTATAATATCCAAAAACGTATCAAATATTTTGACTTTATTCTTTAGTATCCTTCCATCATTTTCCATTTTCACATATAATATAGTCTAATAATATATTAAAAAATAAAATTTTCTGCTAGAAGCACTTGCGCAAATAAAGTCCTTTGGCAAAGAGTTTTCAACTGACTGATGATTTGCAAGATTCAAAATATCGATATTTATCGGTTTATACATATCATTCCGGAACTTTTCTGATATGCCCTTACAGTGGATGCATCAGGGTCTGACCAGTTCAGGGGGTGAAAGAACCCTAAACTAGCCCCCTGAACCGGTTGTAAAATAAATAAAAAAATGACATAACATATAGTATCAATACGCCCCTATCGATAGATATATGGAACATATCAATATTTTGAACCTTGATCATTTACTTAAGATTGAGACTTAATGTCAAGTACTAAGAGGGTGTCACAGAAATACAAAGGGTTGGTCTGGGTGTCAAATTAAATATTGGGGTGTTGTAATTATGCCACTGTATATCGTGTTTGTATGTGAGAGAGAGAATAGTGGATATGATGATAACAAGAGAATCGAAATTTCAGGAAATAGATAGAAGTAATAGAAAACTTATTAGGTCGAAGACAGCCATATAGCTGAAGCTAGAGAGCATATACGTGTTGTAAGAATCCGATCCGTAGCATCATTACATCAACTTTTAAATGAAATACGAACCAAAGACAATGGAAAAATATTAGGAGTATGGTGAACAGAGATCGATATAAGAGGAAGGTTCAGAGCTGTTGACAAGTGGTTTAGGAGAAAGCAAAAACACACGTCGCAAAAAAAGGGATGATAGCTGAGCTTTTCAGCACCACCGTCGTTCCACCCAGAATTATTCTCCGTCCCTTTTATCCAGCCCACGATTGCGTCTATGTTCATTGTGCTCAGATATCTAACGCTCTCTTACCAAAATTCCACCACAAATCCAATCCAAGTTGGCGATCATCATCTCCTATATAAATACCAAAGCTGGGTATTTCCTTCAATTCATCAAACCAAAAGTTAAACAACAAAGCGCATTAGGGCAAATCAGGTGTTCCCTAGGGTTCCTCCAACAACTTCAGTGCGTGGGACTTGTCTCTCTAGCTTACTTGCATGGTTGTGAGAGCATCCTCGTTCTCTCTACTGAAGTGTTTGGGGGAACTCCAGGTGCCACGTGATATATATATTTATCGATCAACTGATCACCAAGGTGCGAATGTAACCCAGTTTTATCTCTTACTCTTTGGGGCACATCAAGTGTCCCCTAGGGTTCCTCCAACCACTTCAGTGGGATTTCTCTCTCTAGCTTGTTTGGGTTGAAGGTATCAATGCATCTTTCTCTCTACTGAAGTGTTTGGGGGAACTCCAGGTGCCACTGGATATATATATTACCTGATCTCCAAGGTGAGAATGTAACCCAGTTTTATCTCTTCTCATTCAGATTGTTGGACCCCCCTCTCTCTCTCTCTTCTCTCTCTATTATAGCATTATTATATATACTTTGTTTAATTGCTAAACTTGTCTTGATGTTAAAGGGTAGTCTCGATCTTTAAGTCATTAGAAAGGATAGAACTTTAGCTCTCTCAAACGTTCTACAGCGTGGGCTGTCATTCTTCTCTCCCCAGCGGGACACTTCACCTATAATGCATCAAGGAAACCTTTGATTAGGTTGTTCTCCGGGCTTTTTTTTTATTTTATTTTGGTGCTTGCATGTTACCCCACTCAGCTCATTGTCTTTGTCTTTTTTTTGGCTAAAAATAATATTGATTGGTATAATGTTTTATCCTCACATCTATGTTAATGTGTCACATGCGTAGTGTTGACTGTGAATCTCCTTAAACAGCTCGGATGTTTCTTCCATGTAATTTTCCCTTCATTTACTATTACAAGGAGTCTGTGTGACTGCGAAGTAACATGCAGGGAGAGCCCTATTCACAGCCCGGGCTGTCGAATTTAGACTGTTGATTTTTTTCCATTAAAAAATACCATAGAAAAGAAAAAAAAAAAACAACAGTGGTTTGGAAACTGTTCTGCGGACCCGGCCCAAGGTTTAGATTGCGTAGATATGCCGTTTTCTCATTGCAGTTAAAGGTAACGGTACACTTTTGGGTCTTATCCTTTTTAAGGCTAAGGTTGCGAGTCCGGATCTCCTGCCCACGTTTATTGTAGTCATACATGGAGAACATTTCATCCTCTGCAAAGTATTATGCAGGGGAGATGTTCCCAATTCATGGGGGATAGTGTGTTGTAGGTAGACATGGGCAGCATTCTCATGGGCAAGAGATCTGAACTTTAAGGTTGCATTTGGCATTCCTTATTTTAAGGATTTATCAATTTTTTATAGTTAAAATTTCTCTATGAACATTGAGTTTTTAATTGCAAAAAGGAAATAAGTCCTTAAAATAAGAAATGCCAAATGCAGCCTAAATTTGGGAGTGCTTAAAAATAAGTCCTTGTTCAATAAGCATTTATTTTGGGTTGGGACTATATAAATAAGCACTTATTTGCATTTGCTCAATAAACCCAAAATTAGCGTTTATTTTGATAATAAGCATTTATCAGAAGACCAGATTTTGAGCTTATTTTCCTTTCTAGCCTATCTTAGCCTGTCATTTCATTTTGAAAATACCTATACTACCCATGTTTAAAGTTTTTTTTTCACCAAATGCCCACAAGTGTTTATTAGAATAAGCACTTATTTTTAAACACTTATTTACTAATACCAAATAAACACTCCCAAACCTTACTCTGTTCTAAAACCCTCTAACCAAAACTCATGAACCATAGAGAGTGAATTAGCTAGCAATGATGATTCATTTTCAAGGAAGTGGGGCAAGTAAGTTGGTAAGCCCCATGGAAAAGAAATAAACCTGCATTCATTCTACAATATTAGTGGGTTTCATGGAAAAAAAAAACTATTCCCGAGTAGCTCATTTACATGGGGAAGTAATAATCTTTTTAGATTGGGTAAATTGTTTACCCATGTACATCGAAAATCGCTAATAGTGATGGGACAATATTGTCCTTTCAATAATGTTACTTTTTTGGATAAATCAGTCATTGTACACCTTTACCTGAGAAATAAAAAAGCACCGGCAAGTATTCTTATCCGGATAAGTATTCCCTAAGAAACACTTTCCTAGATAAGTGCATTTACCTACATAAGTCATTTATCGAAATGTGAATTCTTTTTGGTAAAGAACTAATTATCAAGCACATGCATTGTCACGTTGAATTTATTTAGTCCCACCAGAATTTGTAACATAAATCAGTCTATTTTTTATTAATTGAACCATCCTTTTTATGGTGTCCTATGCAGATGCTTATATATAGTAATGAAATTTTATTAAAAAGAATGTTGAAGGGAGATTCAAATTTACAAAAATCTCTCTCCTCCCTCTTTTGTTTTTGTCATTTCTTCCCTTGAATGACTCCTTGTCTCACATTGTTTGGGAAAAAAGTGGGAGTGGAGCATATTTGTAGTTTTGCTCCCTCTATGGGTAGGGACGCATAGGAGGAGAGGACTATAGATATTCCATGCATGTGAGGGGGGGTTGGGGGTGCTTTATACACGCGCACGCCGAGCCGAGCTGGGGCGTAGGTGCGCGTGCACGTGTATGCGCGATGCACTGAATCATTTGTTTTATCCGAATTACACATTTTCAATTTTAAAACGTGTCTCTTCAAATTCAAATTTAATTTTTAAATAAATTGTTTTCCTTTTTTCGTGTCTCTTCTTCCTTCTTGTGCCTCTTTGAACAGGTGCACTGTTCTGAAGAGGCTTTTGTTTGAAAGAACCGACCCAGTCAAGAACACACACCATTTTTACTTTCTTTTCTCTGAGAAATCTAAGCATCAATCTTCAGTGGTTCGTGGAGGTCTGGTAAGCGAGTGCACGCCTACCAATGGCTTGTGGACTATTTTATCTTGGCGACCAATTTGCGGTAACCTAACTGCACCATAGGGGGCAAATACGGTTTTAAGGAGAGTGACCAAGTGGCACGACTCAGCCCTCCATCTTCCTACAATTTCCAATTTCGAGTTCCTGCAACAACTTCATATCACTTCAATAGTTCCTGATTTCTCTAAAATTGAACCATTCAATGGAACCAACTACAAGCGTTGAAGACAATGCCTGTTGTTTGCCTTAGAACAGTTAGGGGTAGCTTTCGCTTTGACTGAACCAAACCCATTAAATATGGAGGAACCAGCCCATTCTGTTGTTGTAGAAAATTGGACTACAGTCAACCACCTCGGCACCAACCATATCCTAAATTGCTTGTTCAATGAACTATACAATGTTTATTCTTCCTACAATTATGCCTATGAAATCTGGAATGCTTTGGACACTAAGTATGCTCTAGAAAATACAGGAAATAAGAAATATGTAATTGTCAACTTCCTACACTTCACTATGAAAGAAGACATGGATGTGTTTGAACAAATAAATGAGTTCCAGGTTCTCGTGGGGG